AGGAGCGGAAGACCCTGGGACCATCGATGGAGAAGAGCGAAGAGCGGAATCCTACCCAGAGAGGCGGTGAGGCCTGAGATGGAGGCAGAGAAGACGATGTCAAGAGATGGTGGGGCTGTTGACTCGGGATCAGGAGATGGAAAGGGGCTGAAGACTGTGGGGTGGCGGGGAGGGTGCAGGCTTACAGGGTACATCCCTTGGTTGGGTGAGGATGCATGGACGGGATGGTAACTATGCCAATGAAATGATGGATGATGGAATGAATGTAAAGCTGATATTCTCCCATGAAGACTATCACACAATTCACAATAAAACATTAAAAGGATTTAATTTTCTTTCTGAAAAATAAAGGCAAGATTTCACACACACGTTACTTGGTAGAAGAAACAGAAAGTGTCTACCATCAAGAATTGTCCATGGAACTCTAGCCACCATTATAAGAGAAGCACTCTTCACAAATTTAATTTTGTATAAAGGCATGGTCCTACAAATAAATAAGCATAAAATTACAGTCTCAGGTTGTATAAGGGAATTCAGAGGGACATAGTAATTGGCTAGCCTCTTCCAACGGAGTGCAGTTGCTCTGTAGGATAAGCACTGAACTGCTTAATCACAAGGTCAGTGGTTTGAGCCTGCCAGCTGTTGTGAGGGAGAAAGATGAGGTTTGCTGTTCCTGAAAAGCTTTATAGCCTCGGAAACCCAATATAGGGTCACTATGATTGAGAGCCGACTTGACAACACCTAACAACAGGAATCTTGATGTGGCACTGTAAGTTAAGCACTGGGCTGTTAATCAAGGTTGGTGGTTCAAACACACTAGCTGCTCCTTGGAAACCCTATACAGGGTTGCTATGAGTCATGGCACTTAACAACAACAAGCAACTTCCATTTCCTGTGGTGATGCCTCAAAACATGGTTAGTGCCTACAGCTGTGGCTTCTGGGGTCCCTAGAACGCTAATGATAAACTTTCCCTGTAGGACAACGTTTATAGTTAAAAACCATAAAAACAGAATTTACAGACCCACTTAACAGTACAGTGTGGATCAATGAGATAAAGCAGGTGGCTGAGATGGAAAAAGTGACCATGTGTATAATGCTTGAGTTTGTTTTGCAGATGAAATCTGTGCTGATGCCACCAGTTCAGTCAGATGAAGACACTACCGCTGACGTTAGAAGTAAAATAGGTGGCCAGAAAGGCAAGACAACTCTATCCCAGCATGAATGGAAACAGGTAGGTGATCAAAACTGTGTAGAAACCAAGTATTCACTAGAGTGGCAATGCAGATAGAGCATAGATAATATTCTTTGCAATATACAGATAATAAGTGATTTTACCTTAACAAGCATTCATACATTTTAATAGTATTATTGAGATATAACTCACATACCATGTAATTCACCCATTGTTGTTGTTAAGTGCCATTGAATTGGTTCTGATTCATAGCAACTCTGTATAGGATTTCTAAGGAGTGGCTGGTGAATTTGAACCACTGACCTTGTGGCCCAGTTATCCTACAGTGTCATACCAGACTCCAATGCACCCTTTGTTGTTGTTGTTGTTAAATGCCGTTGACCCTGCATAGGGTTTCTGAGGAGCAGCTGGTGGGCTTGAACTGCTGACCTTGTGGTTCGAAGCCCAGTGGCACACCAGGAGTCCAATTCACCCATTGTTATTATTGTTGTTAAGGTTTCTGAGGAGCAACTGGTGAGCCTTGCTGTTCAAATCATCCTCGCAGTCCAGCGCATTAACTCCAATTCACCCATTGTTGTTGTTGTTAGGTGCCATCAAGTCAGTACCGATTCATAGCGACCTTATGAACAGCAGAATGGAACACTGCCCGATCCTGGGCCAACCTCACAATTGTCGCCACGCTTGAGCCCATTGATGCTGCCACTTTGCCAATCCATCTCGCTGGGGGTCTTCCTCTTTTCTCTGACCCTACACCTTACCAAACATGATATCCTTCTCCAGAGACTAGTCTCTCCTGAAAATATGTCCAAAGTATCAGAGACAAAGTTTGGCCATTCTGGCCTCCAAGGAGCATTCTGGCTACACTTCTTCCATGACAGCCCATGGCACTTTCAATATTCTCCTCCAACAGCGTAACTCAAAAGTATCAATTCTTCTATGATCTTCCTTATTCACTGTCCAGCTTTCACATACACATGAGGTTATTGAAAATACCATGACTTGGGTCAGGCGCACCTTAGTCCTCAAACTGACGTCTTTGTTCTTCAACACTTTAAAAAGGACTTGATCAGAAGATTTGCCTAATGAAATACGCTGTTTGATTTCTTTCTCTCTCTTTTTTTAATGTTTTATTGTGAATTATATGATAGTTTACATGGGAGAATATTAGTTTTACATTCATTCTATCG